TGAATTTCGTATTCAGGAAACATAATTGGCATAGTACTATCCTAATGGTCCCTATTTATAGTTAGAAAGCGGGTCTATTGTGTCATGCTGCTGAGTAGAAAGAGAAGAGTTCAGGGTAGACATCTGCACAAACGTTTGCTTGGTTTTCTATGTATGACTCATCAGTGAAGTGGAGCTGATGACCAGGATAGTTGACATTGATTGTCTCAAGTACCAGTGAGCCTTTCTATGTATGACCCATCAGTGAAGACTTGGAGCCATTGATCTGCACGATAGTTGACATTGGTTATCTCAACTCAATGCTACACACACCATTTTCTTTTACATTACATTGTTCTATTTCATAACTTATGAATAGTTAATTGATATTACATGAGTAGACCTAATAGGAGCAGACGATCAAGTGAAGGCAAAGTTATACGAAGCAATGTTTCAAGCATTCCTATGTGCAACAGAGAAGAAGCCAGGCTGATAGAAACTTACTTATGAGTGCTTGCTTAGAAGCAAATGGTGGATTTCTTGAGGGATAGTACCACCATAATCTCAGGAAAGATGCTCAAAGAATGAAATTAAAAGTAAGAACAAAACATATGTTCAATTGATATTTTGTTTTTGGGTGAATTAAAATATCTTCCACCAACCAATCTCTAGTTTTCAGCCCTTTCGGAAATCGGAACTAAGGAATTTCTACCCGATGCTACATCTTCATCAGTTTTTGATGAACAAATTATGACAATGAGTGGAGAAATAATTTAAAACGTCTTATGCAGACTTGGAGCCAAGAACAGGTTGTTAATTCAACAAAGAACAATAGTGTTTCCTCGTGCATTGAAAATACTCTCATACCTCAAATCTAATTTTCGAATTTCCAGTTTTGCGCATTTGTCTCAGAGAATGAGTAGTCGGAGAGTATTTTTGTAAGTATTTTACAATAAAGCAATTCAAACGATGTTGAGTCTGGAGATAATAAAAATGGCTAAGCAGACATCTAGATTGAGGCAAAAACCGAAATTGATTCCTCCTTTTCCCGTTGACCAGTTCAAGGACTCTATCAGCTAAGAATTAGTCTTATATATATTGTAATGTCAAGGCTTTAAATTACTTTCTTGTTTTAAAAGGATGGGCATCGAGCTTATAACTCATATATGGCTAACTTCGAAAGAGTCTAAATCCTGACAGCACCGAACAATCGAACCGATAGGAAAAAGCTATACGATACTCATCCGAACCGACTGCTAAGAAGTCGAGATGACAGCACCAAACAATCAATCTGAGGAATAGATACGCATTATAAAACGTTGATTATTGCACACCTAATAAGGTATGTCACTTGGAATCACAAACTTTTGCAATGAAGAATAGCACTGAAAAGAGTTTTTTAACAGAAATTGAAGGAACACTCTACTTGAATGCAAGTGTTACATCTGTGAAATATTCGAATTTTAACAAAATTTATAAAGACGAGGTTGAATGGGGTGAAGGGAGAGGTCGAATCAGCTGAACTTTGACCGATTAATGACATCACGTCGCTCAATTGACCAATCACCACGATCTCAGGCCTAATAATTCAAAGTGCATATTCGCCTAAGTTCATTATAGCAGTGAGTGACCTAGGGCCATGACGTGATCATCTGGACTTCAACAGAGCAATGCTACCTTCTTCGTCATGCTGGGTTTGGAATTATAATTTGAATGTAAACACTCTTGACACTGTTTCGAGTCAATGTTTGATATTTAAATATTTGCTGATCATTTGTTAATTCCTTCCTTAAATAGGTGAAAATTACTAGCTGCCTATAGGTGTATAACGTAGGTTCATTGAATGGAACAATCAATCCCATTAGTGATGCTATGCCATACTAATATCATCCGATTACTTAGAAGTTGGCACGACTGAGGGGAACGATTAATCCCATTAGTGAAGTTATACCATACTCGTATCATCCGACGTCTTATTCTAGAATTTCTCATGGCAACTGGGATAACGCAGTGCATTCCAAAGAGTGGTAACTGGGAGTAATGATATATGGAGACTTTTGCTGTAATAATATTCAGGAAAATTATGTTTCACTGTATGAAATGCCTGAATTTCGATCTAGCATTATGGATGAGATAGTGTTAATAAAATTACATGCATGTCGGTAATCCTTTGGCCTGGGATATATACGGAAATTTTTCAATTGTCCTTTATTCATATTTTTTGTTCTCTGGTCATTGGATTCGACTTCTTCTCATTTTTACAAAAATTGCATGCGCATTATATTTTGTAAGTAGCATGCATTTTGTACAATTTCATTAGAAAAGTGAAAGAATGCAGTTTCGAAATATAAACTTTAAAGGCCAAATTTATCAAATCCTCCTGAGTTTCTTAATGTTGAACAACATAAACAGTGTATTTGAACTACAAAATTAAAAATACCTAAGCAAACATTAAATCAAGCTTGGAAATCATTGCTCGACTTTGTAGCGGATTGCTACCTTAGTAAAGCCTGATTGACTCAAAAATCTCTATGGCAAATTCTCCAACATCTAGCTAGACTCCCAGAACCAGCCAAGCTATAGCCCAGCTATAAAGGAAACAGATGTGTAGCACGGAGCACGTTTATTCAGTAGATAAACCACGCAAGAAGTGAATACAGGAAGGCAACTCAGTCATACAACATGGCGGCTTTCGGTAAAACAAATGAGGGCCCTTGA